TGTGAGAGAGAGAGAGAGTCTCTGTGTGTGTGTGTGTGTGAGAGAGAGAGAGAGAGTGTGTGTGTGTGTGTGTGCACACACACACACACACACACAAACACACACACGGGCACACACAATCACGCACACTGGCACACACTGGCACGCATACAGTTGCCAGGGCAACATCAGTCAGCAAAACGCGACTGCTTACGGCAGCAAAGGCGGCCTGTGCCGATGGGATGATCTGCATAAGCTCTTCCTGTGACAGAAGCGAATAGCGAGCAGTGCCTGTATCTGCAATCACGACGAGGAGGGGAGTAAATGACGCAAATCGGTGAGGGGCGGTAACAGCTGATGAAAAAAGGGGCAAATGTGCAAAAACCACACACACAATTTGAGATAGCCACAGGCGATGATAGACAGAAGCACGCACAGACACAGACACAGACACAGACACACGCACAGATACAAGCACACAACATAGCTCGCGCTGACAACCCAACAACCAGCCGCAATACACTGCCAACCTGTTGTGCGTGGCGGCTCGTATTCTGGGTGGAGAACAGTGGCCAGTACCCGCTCCACCAATTCCGTCGTGTCCGTCGACTGGCGTGAAAACGCAAGCAGGTATGGGGTTGGTGTTGGTTGTGCATGTGTGCGTGCGAGGGTGTGAGTTTGGGGGAGCTGGTTCGCGGTGGAGCAAGATAATCCCACCATAATCCATTCGGCAGCAGCAGCAACAACAACAACAACTTAAACAACAACAACGCCACAGCAGCCAGCTCACCACGGGCAGGGCCGGGGACGGCGCCTCGAGGCCGCAGTGCTGGATCTTCTGCTTGGATGCTGGTGAGTGCACGCCTGGTGCACGGAGCACAAATGGAGCGAGCCGCGCGAGCGCATGCATGGGCGCGGAAGAGAAAGAGTTTGAGAGAGCGCGGGTAAGAGGGCGGGGGAAACGGAGTGGTTGCGTCTCTACGGCCACAAGAACACGCGCACACACGATGGGCAGACGAACAGCTTGTTCACACGCACGCCATCATCAGACATGGCGCGTCGCAGATGAAACGAACCTGCGCCCATGGGGTAGACAACGCGGCGGCGGATGTTGACGGATGGCGGCGTCTTCGGCGGTGCCTGCAGGCATTACAATCAACCCATATTGTGGCAAAGGTCAGCAATACAACACAGAGAGGGAGTGAGAGAGAGAAAGACAGAGAAGGAGAGAGACAGAGACAGAGAGGGAGAGAGACAGAGAGACACGCACGCACAGACACACACACACAATCAGCGTACCACCAGCTGTGTACGAGGCGGGGAAGCAACGGGCGTTGCCAGAGACTGCTCTTGCTGCACTTCATCGTCAGCATTCCCTGGCTGCTGCCCCTCTTGTTGCTGTTGCTGCCGCTGCTGCTGCTGCTGCTGCTGCTGCTGCTGCTGCTGCTGTTGCTGCCGCTGCTGCGGCGATGAAGACTCGTCAACGAGTGGAACTGAAAGGAGGAACAAGAGGAGAGAGGGACAGGGTGGGGGTTAAAGGGTGGCAGGCAAAGAAACATGATTGTGAGTCAATAGCGCATTCTTCACCCCCGCCTCATTTGCGAGGCAACACTCCCTCCTGAAGTACTACTACCCACCCCAAAACTTGAAGTACTACTACCCACCCCAAAACTTCACCGCAATGACAACAGCGACAGCCACATGTTGCATTGCAGCGACGTCTTACTGCTGGCAGGGAGGCGCAGGAGATTCTCTGTTCCGCGGAATCCAGCACCAGGCTCGCGAGGGAGACACGCGCCGATGAACTGGGCCTGTCACGTGCCAGAGCCATGCAGCAGTGCACGACAAATGAAGAGGAGGGGGGTGGAGTGTGTGAGTGTGCGTGTGTGGAGCGTGTATGGTGCGGGTGAATCCATGTTCATGTGGTGTGAGTGTGAGTGTGTGATGGAACATGCAGGACAGGTGAAGGATTACGTGGATCAAGCGCAAACACGCATTGAGTGCTGGCACATCGGCAGACGCAAAACACATCACGCTCACCTTTGAGACGTATCCATCCTCAAGATCAACGTGCGAGAGTTCAAATACTTCCTGTGCCATTGCTCTGAGGACACACACACACACACACACACACACACACACATGGAAATGCGCACGAACACAAGCAAACAATCAAGTATGAGCACGAAAATAGACCCATGGTGATGTCGTGATGTTGTCGCAGACACCCAAAAGAACCCGCGTCAAACGCATTGTCGAGGGTCACAAACGCACATGCACATGCACATGCACATGCACTGACCTGTGTTCCTCGTCTGTTCCATATTGGCCACGGTACCGTTGAATGTGCTTGATCTGTCACAAACACAGCAGCGACGCGGCAAAGACACACAAACAATAGTGGCACAGGCAGCGGTGATGATGACGACGATGAGGTAAGTGCATTGCACACAAGGTTTTAAGACGGAACAACAACGTGAAGATATGTCGGCATGATGCCCACTTGCTGACGGTGGGGAATAATTTCTCACCATGAGCACGAACGGTTCAAGGGAGAGGCGCTGATGTACGGGGTCTGGGCAATAGCAGAAACACGTGAGCTGAAATGCAATGCACAAACACAAGCGTGAACGCCCAAGCACGCGCACAAAAACACGCACACAAGTGCAGACAATCTCATGTGTCATGTGGAAACACACACACACACACATGCACACATGACTGTCTCCCAATGGTGCACACCTGCGTATGCACGGTACACATAATCGAGCCGATGCTGTGGAGCGAGCAGGCGGAAAGGGCCGTAAGCAAGCCAATATGAGTCATGGGAAGAGCGAGGGAGTTTGTACATGTGTGTGCGTGCGCACATCATGTGTACGGTACCACCAGCAAACGTGACAGCCACAGCCACCAACGCACCCACATGACCCACAGCACCACCACCAGCAACACCGACGCCACTATTCTTCGCAAGGCAACGGTACCTCATCGTGGGGATGGTCTGGTTGGACGACGACAAGACCGCGACACAGATCGCGAAAGGAGACAGACCCGGTCCGCCGCACATCAAACGCGTTGAAGAACACCCCAATCTCATCCTCAGACACCCGGAACTCCTGCACACCGTTGCGTGTGTGTGTGTGTGTGTGTGTGTGTGTGTGTGTGTGTGCGTGTGTGGTTGTGAGTATGGTGTGGCATGTGCACCGAACATGCGTGAGTGAATGTGAAGCGGGGCCGATGCACGCAATAGCCACAACAGCCACAGCAGTCACGAGCACCGACAGAACATCGAGACATGCACGCCCCAATCACATGCGCCCAACCCACCCGGAGGAAGAGGTTGTGAAAGCCACTCCTGCTCAGCTCTTCCCTGCCGTCACTGTACACGTTGAATAGCTGCAACAGCAACCATTCAAGCGCCACCAATGGAAGTGAGGCATTCCTGCATCAACAAACGAGCACACACACACATACACGCACTCTCGCATACAAGACACACACACACACCATCGCATACATGCACACACACATGCACACACACCCCCCCCCATCGCATACATGCACACACAGATACATCTACCTCGCGGATGGATGGGTGGGGTGTGGCAATGCACGGGTGCTGGTGCTCGTCGTCACTGCCCATGTCTTCAACCGTTGACCAGACGGCAGAGTCATCCTGCGAAGCCGACATCGCTGCTGTTGTTGCTGGTGCTGCTGTCGGTTGCAGCAGGGATGTAGCGGTGGTGTCATGGGCGCCTGCTGCTGCTGCTGCTGTTGTTGTTGTTGTTTCGCCTGTGGGAACGGCGTGTGCGTCCACTGTGCCGCCAGTGCCCGGGCGCTCGTCACCACCGTGTTCATGTTCGCCAATGACAGGGCTCTCTCCACGCCCACTGCTGTTGCGAACACCACCACTGCGGCTCTCAGCAGGCACGCCACGCACCATCCCTACTGGTGCCCCAGTGGCGGTGTCCATCATGGCTGCGGCTGCGTCAGGTTGCGCTGTGTTCTCTGCGTGCGTGTATGACGAAGTGTCATCGTCGCCAGAGGATGTCAGGGGCAACGATGTGTCCATTTCGGCCGAGGTAACCGCCTCTGCAGGCGCTTCTATTGCCCGTTGTGTTCCCTGCACACCGCTACCTTCAGCGTACTGCTGGTGCTGGTGGTCCAGTTGCTGGTACTGACTGGAGTCACGGGACTCTCCAAGCATGCGTGTGGTGTGTCTTTCCTCTTCTTCCGATGCTTGCTGGTTGTGTTTGTGAGTAAGGGCGCCTGCCGCCAAGTTCGAAATGGAGACTGGGTCTGTCTGCACGGCAACACTTGCAGTTGCAAGCCCTCGAAAGCGTGACGCAAACGATGTGTCACCACGCCCACGGCCACTGCTGCTGCGGATCCTCTCGCCACCATGACCACACCGGCCCTCATCCTCCTCACCCACATAGTCATTATCCTTCTCTTCCGCCTCTCCCTCATCATCATCATCGTCATCATCATCATCATCTTCCTCATGCACCATGGCTCGTTCCTCTCGGCGACCCCCAGCGCTGCTGGCTCTGCTGCGCCGCTGCGTTGCCTTGCTGGTGTGTTCCCCTGCATGTTCACTATCACCTCCATGCCGGCCGTTAGCAGGGCTACATCGGTGCTCTTCAACGTCTTGCTGATGATCAGCCGCATCACCACCACGATCGTCACCATCATCTTCATCAGCAGTAGCAGCAGCAGCATCACCATGAGCATCCACTCTGCCTCCGCCCTCACGCCGGCTTTGGGAGCCATTCTTGTCGTTGCCGTCGCCAGCAAACACCGCAGCTGCGCCCGTGGCATCGTCAGGTGCATTGATGGTCAGGCGTGCAGGAGGAGCAACCGTGCCGTCATCGCTCTGCGTCGATATGGCTGTGTGCTGGCGTGTGCGTACACTGCCCTGCAACCTGCGTGAAAGCGGCGGTGGGGGCGACTGGTGTGGCGGGAACGGTTCAAACACGACGCTGCTGCGGTTGCTGGTGTCGCTGTCGCCATGTCCGCTGCTCGTGTTCTCCTCCGCCTCTGAAGACGAAGCGCTGCGTACACGGGTCATGCCTGCAGGTGCTGTTGAGTGGGCTGTCGCTGTGGCGGGAAGCATCCTACCACCACTGCTTTGCCTCGACGAGGCTGGCTCGTGCGTGTGTCCACCACCTGCACGCTGCGATGACGATGGTACCAATGGCAGCAACGACGGCCCCGTGGTGGCGGTGGCGGCATTTTCGCTCTTACCGCCACTATGCGTGGACGATGGCTTGCGGGGTTTCGTTGTTACCACTGCTCCGCTCTGCTGCTGCTGCTGCTGGTGGTGGTGGTGGTGGTGCGACGCGCGTGTTGGCCAGAACCTCTGCAGTGCCGCAGCAGCAAATGCGCCACCGTGCTGCTGCTGCTGCTCTGCCTGCTTACTGCTGCGACTGGATTCAGTGTGGGCCGCATCTCGCTGCTGGAAAGACAACACCTGCTGCTGTTGCTGCTGCTGCTGCTGCTGGTGTTGGTGGTGTTGGTGGTGGCTGCGCTTTGGATGGGGATGGTGGTGGTGGTGTTGTTGTTGTTGTTGTTGTTGTTGTGGGGACTGTTGTTGATGGCGATGCCGGCGATGCGACTGGCTCGTGAACTTGTGCAAGTTATGGCGGTGCTTGAACTTGTGCGACTTCTTTGCGCGCGAGCTCTTGTTGAGTCCAGACTTGCTGCTTGTCTTGCGTAATGCCGCGCCCGTGAATGTGTCCTCGACGTCGCTGCCGCTGCCAACACCGCCGCCCGCCAGCCCCACCACGCCCTCGCTCGGTTTGATGCTTTTCGCCCGGTGCTCATCATCGCAGCTGTCGCTGTCGTATGCACCGCCACCACCGCGTTGATGGTGATGCGACCTCCACCCCCCACCCTGTGCTGCCAGCTCACACGCGGCCGTGTGCGCTGCGCCCTTCTCCCACACGTCCCTGGCACTGCGGGCGCTTGATGTGCGTGGGCGGCGCTTGCGTTGCAGACCGCTGCTGCCCGAACGTCGCGTCGTCGACCCACTTCCGGTTGTTCCTCCCGTGATTACAGCGTTGCGCGGGGGCGAGCGCACGTCCCCCCGCGCGTCTGCGTGTGCGTGTGTGTTGCGGCCAATGCGAATGGCGGTGGAGATTCGGGGTGGTCCTTTGCTGCCAGAGGGGGGCGTGGTGGTTGGTGGTGCTGGCACGGGTGGTGCTGCAGGCGCTGTGGACGTCGCTGCGGGTGGCTGCATGGAAGCTGCTGTTGCTGTTGCTGTTGTTGTCGCTGTCGCTGTTGGGAGAGCTGGCGGTGGCGGCGATGATGACGACGATGACGACGATGCGACCATGGTGTGCTCGCCATAATGGGCAGGCTGTGCGTGCTGCGGAAGAGATTCGCCAATACGCGCGCCCACGTTGCGGTTGTTGTCACGGTTGCACGCGTTGCTGCTGTTGTCGTTGTCGGCGACACTGCCACCGCGTCTTCGCTCCGTGGTCGTGGAGGCTGCGCGCCCGGGTGTGCCAGGGAGGGTGTTGCTTTCGGACTCATCGTCACTGCCGCCGCCGCCACCACCAGCGCGGTATGGCGGGCTGTCCTCTTGCTCCTCCATCGAGCGGTCGTGCTCACGCTTCGCAGACGCACGCTCTCCGCCGCTGTGCACAACCGTCTCCCTGGAACAGGTGGGTAGGCGTGTGCATGTGTGTGTGTGTGTGTGCGCGTGAGTATGAGTTGATGTGAAATTGTGTGTGTGTGTGTGTGTGAACTTGTGTGATTGCGTTAGCGCAAAATTGAGATTGCCTGAAAGAGAGAGAGAGAGAGAGAGAGAGAGAGAGAGTGTGTGTGTGTGTGTGTGTGTGTGTGTGTGTGTGTGTGCAAGCGCAAGAGAGATTGGCAAGTGCTACAACAGGCGCGTAAATGTGTGTGGACGGCATGCAAACCTGCAAATTAAAGAGGCGGATCGAAGGACGTCGTTTGTCTGACAGACGCGCGCACATGTGCGTGCACGTTTGGTTCGTGTTCGGGGAATGAGTTGAACTGCACGATCACAACAGCCGCCCCTGCTCTTCACGCACACATGCGCACACGCACAGACAGACAGACAGACAGACAGACAGACAGACAGACAGACAGACAGACAGACAGACACACCCACACACATACAACGAGCGACGTGTCCCAGCGTAGCACCTGTGCGAGTGCGCGGAAGGTGGCAAAGTCAATGGCGGGGCGGTTGTCCAGAAGCGCTTCGGCCACGCGGCGCGCAGCAATGGGACTCGGATCTGCACACACGGATGCATGCGTGGTGTTGTGCAATGTGTGTGTGTGTGTGTGTGTGTGCGAGTGTGCGCGCGAGTGTGTGTGCGAGTGTGTGTGCGAGTGGTACAGCAATGGTAGGGCGTTAGGGTGCGTGGGTGTTGCGCGAGAGTGAGTTGTGAGTCTTGACTTGAGTGTGTGATACACAGAGTGAGAGCGGTGTGTGTGTGTGTGTGTGTGTGTGTATGTGTGTGTGTGCGTGTGTTTTCGGGTGTAGCAAAGAGAAACGGTGGGGAGTTGTGTGCGGGAGTGCTGTGTCACAAGTGAGCACTGGATCAGCAGGTGGCTTCAGGTGGTAGCTGGAAGTTCCTGCAGCCAACTGCAACCAAGTATTGGAGTGTGTGCACGTGCTTACATGGATCTTGACGCGCTTGCATAATGTCCAGCACCACGTGGCTGAGCGCCTCGGCATCCAACACCCCTGCGCGGTTCTGGTCATAGAACTGTGCGTGTGCGTGCGTGCGTGCGTGCGTGCGTGTGTGTGTGTGTGTGTGTGTGTGTGTGTGTGTGTGTGTGTGTGTGTGTGTGTGTGTGTGTGTGTGTGTGTGTGTGTGTGCGTGCGTGTGTGCGTGTGTGTGTGCGTGTGTGTGTGTGCATGTGAGCTGGGGTCAGCGTGACAATAACATCACTGTGGTATGTCAAGCGTGTGTTGTTTCGTGCAGATGGCAACGTACGTTGAAGATGAGGCCGCATCGCAGCTCAAACCAGGTGCCCTCATGAGGAGTTGTGCTGTGAATGCAGCCAAGCCCTGGCATCGCACGAGCACGGTGCAGAGAAGGAGAGGGGAAGCCAGTCAGTGTACCAGGCAGACAAACAAATGGACGAGTGCACAGGCAGGCGGGTGGGCGCGTGCACACACGCACACACGCACACACGCACACACACGCACACACACACACATACGCACACACACACATACGCACACACACACACACTCACACACTCACACACACGCAAACACATTACCCCTCACCAAGCAAAAAGTCAATGAGGCTGATGCCAAGCCGGCTTTGATCTCTGGTGAATGCTCGATAGTAGTGGGGTCTGGGAAAGGCCAGTGGGGAGGGCAGGCAGGGAAACATGAGCGCGCATGTATGAGTGCATGTGTCTGAGACAGTGTGTGCGTGTCTGTAGTGTATTCACAAAAGAGCACAATTCATGCACGACAATGCTTGACTGGGTGTAAGCTCTCTCTCTCTCTCGCGCACACACACACACGCACGTACGCAATAGACCCACACGCAATAGACGCAATAGACACACAACAACAACAACAACAACAACAACAACAACAACAACAACAACAACAACAACAACAACAACAACAACAACAACAACAACAACAACAACAACAACAACAACAACAACAACAACAACAACAACAACAACAACAACAACAACAACAACAACAACAACAACAACAACAACACAACAACAACACACAACAACACACAACACAACAACAACAC